CAGTATTTCAACACCTTCTCTCAATAGTTAAAAGGGGCAGGAGGCTGAATGTGGAGCTCAGTACAAATGGTTCAATCCTCGGTATAATACCACTCACACACACACAAAAGAACAAAAGAAAAAGATTGTGTCCCCCCTTTTTGAGACAGGGTCTTGCTTTGTAATCCAGGCTGGCCTTGAACTTACCTTGTAGCCTAGACTGGCCCCTTGAGCTCCTGGCAATCCTCCTGCCTCAGCCTCCTGAGTGCTGGGATTACAGGCATGCGCCACCACGCCTGGCTATGTGCCCCCTGTTTTTGTAGGAAGTGAAACTGAGGCTCCTGAAGGAAAAGTAATCCCTTTGGTGTCACAGAAGGAAAGAGGGAGAGATAGAGGGTCAGAGAGAGGAGGGCAGAGGGACAGGAGGACAAGGGAGAGGGGAGAGAGGTAGGATGGCACTGGTCTCACCATGAGACCCAAGCCTTGGTGGGGGCGAGGCACAGCGGTCTGACAGCCTTGCAGGGGGCTCAGCCCTGACCTTTCCAAGTCAGCTGGGAGCGGACAGATCCTGCCCTTTCCTTCCCCCAGCCCCCTTCTTCCCCTGGGGCCCTCTGGGGACTTTTCTGAGCCTGGGGCACAGCCATGCAGAGAGGGGAGGGGGTCCAGCCAGCCGGATGGGGTGGGCTGACTTCGGTTCCTTCTCAATGCTTCTGGGCATACTCACTTATTGAGCACCTACTGTATGCTGATCCTGTCCTGTCTTGGGGGCTGGAGGTGGGACAGGCAGTTGACACGCAAGTTCCCCACCCTCCTGGAATGTTCAACCATTCAGACAGACAGACAGACAGACAAAAACAAGATACAGGAGTGTTGGGGTTCTGATGGAGAAGGGCTGCTTGGGCCAGCGGAAGAAATGAGGGAAGAGCCGGGCATGATGGCGCACGCCTGTGATCCCAGCATCCGGGAGGCTGGGGCAGGAGGATCTCTGTGAGTTCAAGGCCAGCGTGAACTACATAGTGAGACTTTGTCTAGAACAGAGCAAAACAAACAAAACAAAACAGGTGTGGGCCAGGCACAGAGGACAGTAAGCAGAGGAGTCACTGGTGTGGACCCCACTGGGGTTGGGGATAGGAGAAGAGGGACTGCTGGGCTGTCCAGGCCATTGGGCAGAGCCTCCTTACCCAGGGCCAGGAGTAGGGATCCATCAATATTTTTCCATCTCTTTCTCTCTGCCCCTCCCTCCCTCCCTTCCTTCATTTTCTTTCTTTCTGCATTGGGGATTAAACCCAGGACCTTTACACTGAGCTACATCCTCAGCCCTTTTTACTGTGACACAGGATTTTGCTAAGTTATCCAGACTTGCCTTGAACTTGGTATCTCCCTGCCTCAGCCTCCTGAGTAGCTGGGATTACAGTCTTTTACCACCGGGCCTGGCTAGAGGTTTGGATTTTACTTGGCAGCCACTGGAGGGCTTCAAGCAGAGAAGTAACAGGAGCTGATGTCCGATCTTTCTGCTGCTGCCTCCGGGTGGGAAGTGAGCAGAAGGCAGGCAGAGCCTAAGCCCAGCCCACTGCACCTGCCCGCCGCTGCATCCCCGGCACCACAAAAAACAAGAGTCCAGGCCAGCCTCATGATGGCCCAGAGCCGGCAGAGGCTTCGGAGGGATCCCGGGATTCCGGGTTCACCTTGATGGAGCCCAACAGCTTCTCCTGCCTCTCCTGTCCCTCGGGTCCTGCAGCTATGGTTGGTTCTGGGTCCCTGCTGTCAGCCCAGGGTCTGTTTTTTCTTTTTCGGTACTGAACAATGAACCTAGGGCCTTTACACTGAACTGTATCCCCAGTCCTCCCACCTTTCCCCTCTCTCTCTCTCTCTCTCTCTCTCTCTCTTGTCTTTTTGATTTTTTTGTTTTTGGTTTTTTTGGTTTTTCTCTGGTACCGGGAACTGAACTCACGACCTTGCGCTTGCCAGGCAGGCGCTTTGCCGGTGAGCTAAATCCCCAGCCCCTCTTTTGTCTTTTTGAGACAGAGGGTTTCACTGTGCGGTTCAGGCTGGGCTTGAACTCCCTCCTGCCTCAGCCTCCTGAGTGCTGGGATTACAGGCATGCCCCACCGTGCCCAGCCCTGTTTTTTGTTTTTTGAGACAGGGTCTTATGATATAATTCAGGCTGTCCCTGAACTCACTATTGTCTTGGTTACTTTTCTCTCCTTGCTGAGACAAAATACCCAACGCCCAAAATTAAGGAAGGAAAGGTTTATTTAGCTTACAGTTTGTGGCAGTTTCAGTGGCTGGCTCCGAGGCAGAGTGGCACATAGCAGAGGGCAAAACATTCAAGGTGACAGAACACAACAAAAACAAGAAGAGCAAAAGGGAGGAGTGGTGGCAAGCAGCCTCTTTCCCTCCCTTACATTGTAAACAGGCTACCCCTACCCAGGAGCCCTGTAGCACTCACATATCTTCATGCCCTCCTCTTGCACAGGCTCAGGATGTATACAAAGTAAGCACCCTGACTCCCTGCTGAGTCACTTAGCCAAACCTCAGGACTCCCCAAGTTGATACAATGTATCAACCATAACAACTACACAACTGCCTCAGCCTCCCACCTTCTGGGATTATAGGTGTGTGCCACCATGCCCACCTTTTTTGTTTTGTTTTGTTTTTTTAAGACAGGTTCTCACTAAATTGCCCAGTCTGGGCTCAGAATTGCAAGCCTCCTGCCTCAGCCTCCCACCTTCTGGGATTATAGGTGTGTGCCACCATGCCCACCTTTTTTGTTTTGTTTTGTTTTTTTAAGACAGGTTCTCACTAAATTGCCCAGTCTGGGCTCAGAATTGCAAGCCTCCTGCCTCAGCCTCCCAGAGTGCTGGATTAGAGGTGTACCTCAGTACCCACAGCTCCCATGGCCCTTTTCCTTTTTTTCTTTTGTCTTTTTTTTTGAGGCAGGGTCTCTCTGTATAGCCCAGGCTGGCCTTGAACTCACGGCATTCCTCCTGCCTCAGCCTCTCAAGTGCTAGGATTACAGGTGTGTACCACTACGCCCGAACCGAGGACCCTTTTCTGCCCAGTTATTCTGCAAATGGAAGCACACTCTGAAAAAGGGCCGAGAGCGGAGATTCCCTCTCCTGCCATCAAGAGCTTGGACATCAGGATCCGGGGAAGGTCGCAGAATGGCTCTGTCCCTCAGTGTATCAAGTAGGAGGAAAAGCTACTTTCCACAGGGAATTCTTGAAACTTTTAATGAAATAATACCCAGGAAAGGGCCTGGAACAAGGTCTGCTATGTAATAGGGCTCAATAAACTGTGGCTGTTAGGAGCTGGGGATATGGCTCAGTGGTAGAGCACTCACCTGGCATGTAGAAGATCCTGGGTTCAAAACCCAGCACTATAAAAAAAAAAAAAAGACAAAAAATGACCAAGAAACAAAAGGGCAAACAAAACCAAACCTGTACAATAATTGTCAAACACGAGGTATCCTGATGCTTTTACCCCATAAATATGTATACTTACTATGTCAGTTGAAAATAAGCTTACAAAAAAAAACAAGGAGTCAGGCATGGTGGTACATGCCTATAATTGCAGCATTTGAGAGGCTGAGGCAGGATGATCCCATAAATTTGAAGCCAGGCTGGGCTACATAGTAAGTTTAATGAACTACATAGTGAGACTCTTCAAAAAAAACAAACCAAAACAAAACAGAGTGTCGGGGATGGTGGCACATGCCTGTAATCCTAGCACTCAGGAGGCTAAGGTGGGAAGATCATGAGTTCGAGGCTAACCTGGGCTACATACTGAGCCCAATACTGGACTGGATTACACAGTGAGACTCTGTCTCAAAATAAAGGAACAAAGAAATCGTGGTGGTCTGGCTGGGGTCAGGAGGCCGATCCCACCCTGGATTCTATAGCTTCCTTGCTGTGATCCTGAAGGGGATGACCCAGCCTCTGTGGGCTCCTCCCCCAACCTACAAAGTGATAAGTTTAGATTAGTCCACTAGGACCCAGCACATGATATGGAACTTGTGCCAGTTTTATAGTTTCTTCGAGAAAGTTCTAAGATCTTTATTGTAGCATGGATTTGGTTTTGTTTTGTTTTTTTTAGAGACAGGGCCTCCCTGCGTAGTCCGAGCTGGCCTTGACATCATGGTGATCTTCCTGCCTCAGCCTCTGAGTTCTGGGATCACAGGCGTATGTGCACCACCACAGCCGGCTTGTAGCACACATCTGGGGATAAAGGTACCTGGCCTTCAAGCACATGGCATCAGGGCGCACGTCCTCTGCGTCCACAGGGATGACGGGGGCACGGGTGGCTTCTCACCGCTGTCCTCTCTCCCCGCAGGCCCTGTGACGTCAGCTCTGTCTGAGGCTGTGAGCTAGGACTGCGTCATCCCAACCCCTGGGACCCCACCAGGACCGAAGCAGAACCCCGCCCCGCCCCTCCTCCCGCTCGCAGGCCTAACGGAGAGCCTCCTGCGATCCAGCTCTTGGTCATCTCCTTCCTGTTTCCCAGCAGCCCTCTCCCCTGCCCTTCCTCCATCCACCCGACAGGACAGCCCCGAGACCTCGTCACCTTGATCTTACGCATTTCCTTATTTCCTGTCGGGGCCCTCGGACAATCCAGCACTCCTGCCCATATCGCCAGTCTCCCTGGCACTCCCATGCCCTGTCTCAACGCCTTCCTGTGGGTTTCCTATCTTCTAGAACATTCTGCCACAGCAGTACGTACTTCAGCATGGCTACACGTACTTCCTGGGTGCTCTGTAAGCATCGCCCCCTCACTACTGCCCGCTGATACCTCCACCTCCTCCATTAGCTCTCCCTTGCCCCATTTTTCTGCTACCTCATATTTTTTCTTTTCTTTTTTAGCACTAAGGATTTTTTTTTTTGGTACCGAGAATCGAACTCAGGACCTTGCGCTTGCAAGGCAGGTGCTTGTGCCACTGAGCTATATCCCCGGCCCACCACTAAGGATTGAACCCAGGCCCTTTCCACTGCTAGCCCTTTTGATGTTTTTTTTTTTTTAACTTTTGAAACAGAGTCTGGCTCAGTAGCCCAGGCTGGGCTTAAATTTGGGATCCTTCTGCCTCAGCCTCTCTAGTCCCAGGGCTCCAGGCTACTCAGGCCTGCAAACACCTCCTTGACATTCTTCACCCCACTGTCCCCAGGCCCTACCCCTTGCCTACTCTTTTCTTCTGGGGCCCCCTTTCCTGCCGAGCCGGCCCAAGGGTTCGCCTTGGTCTCCTCTCTTCCTCTGGGCTGCCATGTTCCCCTGAGCCTCCCAGGAGGGGGCTCAGGGGGTCCCGATGGCCTCCTGCCCCCCACAGCCCGGCAGCCCCCACGCAGGGGAGGAGCCCGGGAAGCCGCAGCGCCCAGGATGGGCAACCGCTCGTGGGAGGGCTGCCACGTGGACTCGCGCGTGGACCACCTCTTCCCGCCCTCCCTCTACATCTTCGTCATCGGCGTGGGGCTGCCCACCAACTGCCTGGCCCTGTGGGCCGCCTACCGCCAGGTGCGGCAGCGCAACGAGCTGGGCGTCTACCTGATGAACCTGAGCGTGGCCGACCTGCTGTACATCTGCACCCTGCCGCTCTGGGTCGACTACTTCCTGCACCACGACAACTGGATCCACGGGCCGGGCTCCTGCAAGCTCTTCGGCTTCATCTTCTACACCAACATCTACATCAGCATCGCCTTCCTGTGCTGCATCTCTGTGGACCGCTACCTGGCCGTGGCCCACCCGCTGCGCTTCGCCCGCCTGCGCCGCGTCAAGACGGCCGTGGCCGTGAGCTCCGTGGTCTGGGCCACGGAGCTGGGTGCCAATTCGGCGCCCCTGTTCCATGATGAGCTCTTCCGAGACCGCTACAACCACACCTTCTGCTTCGAGAAGTTCCCCATGGAGGGCTGGGTGGCCTGGATGAACCTCTACCGCGTCTTCGTGGGCTTCCTCTTCCCCTGGGCGCTCATGCTGCTGTGCTACCGCGGCATCCTGCGGGCCGTGCGGGGCAGCGTGTCCACCGAGCGCCAGGAGAAGGCCAAGATCAAGCGGCTGGCGCTCAGCCTCATCGCCATCGTGCTGGTCTGCTTCGCGCCCTACCACGTGCTGCTGCTCTCCCGCAGCGCCGTCTACCTGGGCCGCCCCTGGGACTGCGGCTTCGAGGAGCGCGTCTTCTCCGCCTACCACAGCTCTCTGGCCTTCACCAGCCTCAACTGCGTGGCCGACCCCATCCTGTACTGCCTGGTCAACGAGGGCGCCCGCAGCGACGTGGCCAAGGCCCTGCACAACCTGCTGCGCTTCCTGGCCAGTGACAAGCCCCAGGAGATGGCCAACGCGTCCCTCACGCTGGAGACCCCGCTCACTTCCAAGAGAAGCAGCGTGGCCAAGGGCCCAGCGGGCAGCTGGGTGGTGGCCGCCCCCTCCCAGGGGGACCAGGTGCCGCTCAAGGTGCTGCTGCCGGCGCAGTGACCCCACGCTCAGACCTGTGCCAAGGTCTCTTCCCCAGGTCTGCTGTGTGCAAACTGCACGTACATAGGCTGGGCTTGATGTTCGTAAGAATGTAATAGAACGAGCGTAAGGTGACACGTCACGTCACCCACCTCCTCCACGTGACCCCCTAACAGTTCAGTTTAACTGTCCCCAGCCGTGAGCTGGGTGATGTGAGTGACATACTGTCCTGGTGGACTCCCAGGCCCTGCTGCTGTTCTGGGTCACAGAGGGCTTCCTGGAGGACAGGACGAGTTCACGAAGTCAAAGATTTGGTTTGTAGAAGGTAAAGACAAAAAGAAAGGTTTCTTTCCAACAGGGGAGTAAAAGCTATGACTCCAGCACAGGTGGGAAAGAAACATCACTGAGTGTGGTCATGACGTCTGCCCTCGGGATGTCCCTTGGATATGGGGGAGAGGGTGACGGACAGACAGATTCTGAGATGCTGTATCAACAGTGTTCCATAAGTAGGAGCCGAGGAAGAGGAGGGAGAGTGTCAGAAACCAAGTGAAAAGCAATCAGAGGGCTGGGGATTTAGCTCAGCGGCACAGCACCTGCCTAGCAAGCATGAGGTTGTGAGTTCGATTCCCGGTACCAGAAGAAAACCAAAAAAAAGAAAAAAGAAAAGCAATCAGAGCAGACTTCTTGGAGGAGGCTCAGGACAAGAGGAAGAATGTTCGTTCATTCATTCATTCGAGACTTAGGCCCGGCCTGTGCTGACAGAGGCTTAGGATATAGAATGAACATGACAGTCCTGGTCCGGCTCTCATGGGGTTCAGGAAAAACAAGTGAAAAAGCAAATCTGAGCTGGGTGTGGTTGTACATACTCAGTCTCAGCTCTTTGGGAAGCTGAGGCAGGAAGACTGCAAATTACAAGCCAGCCTGAGCTATATAGCAAGACCCTGTCTCAAAAAACAGTAACAATGAAAAATAAACAAAACATTTGGAATTGCTAAATAGGAGTGGAAAAAATAGAGCTAGTTGAGGGGACAGTGTGTGACCGGGAGTCTGATCCAGATGAGGAGGGTGGAGGAGGGCTCACTGCAGTGCTTAGAGCAAGGATCTGAAGAGGCAAGGTGGTCATCCCTGAGGCTACTGTAGGAGAATAATTCCAGGCAGTGAGAACAAGTGCAAAGGCCCTGGGGTCACCAGAAATTTTCAGGGACCAGAAGTACAGCAGTGCAGCTGGAGCAGAAGTCAGGAGGGCAAGAGGAACGGGACAGGGATGGGTCAGCCACCACAGGCAGATGGTGTGTGACTGCTTGTCTTGGTGAGGATTTGCCTTCTACTCTGTGATAAATGGGAGCTGTGGGGAGGCTCTGAGCAGTGTGCTGAAGTGATCTGACTTCCGTGTTAATGGGATCCTGCTGGCTGCTGAGTGGGAGCAGGAGGCAGGAGGTAAAGGCAGATGCTGGGGGCCTGGTGAGATGGTGACTGTACACATTTAGGCCAGACATGCTGGTGCTGGGCTGGGCAGAAGTGAAGGACCAGGCAGGGCAGTGGTCAGTGTGTGTGGGGGTGTTTATTGGAACATATTGATGTTAGCGGCCGGGGCCTGGGGGATTGTGTTCCATGGGCCCCGTGCCTGTTCGGGAGATGACCTTAGCCACAGTAGAAGGCGGCACCAGGGAGGCCGAGCGAGGGGCCCAAGGGCTCAGGGCTGGTGAGTCAGTGCTGGGCCATCCTGGGCTTGCCCCCTCCTCCCCCCGAGCATCTGTTCCCACGCCCTCGGGTGGCCAAGGCCTCAGGGGTCAGCAGGGCTGGGGAGCAGGAGGAAGCACCCGCTCTGCCAGGTCTCAGCCCTCCCGGAGCAGGGGTGGACGCAGGCTGCAGAGATGCAGAGATTCCCCCCACCACACCCCTGCCCTCCAAGTTCCCCCAAGAGCTTCCTGGAAACCCTTCTCCGAGAAAGGCAGAGGCGGGAAGAAAGGAATGGGAAAGTAATGCGCTTCTTGAGAAAAGTGACTTTATGGAGAAGGGGGTGAGATGGCGAGGAGGGCCGGGAGCCCAGAGGTGCACGAGGGTGGGGCTTGGGGTTGGGGGGTACAGAAGCAGGGAGGCCTGGGGCCTGGGAGGCGGCCTCCTCTTCCCACCACCTCAGAGAGGCTGAACACAGCCCCCATCCACCAAATGTTCCTTCCTGTTCATTCAATAAACATTTATTGAGCACCTACTGTGTGCCTGGCAGTGTTGTAAAAGCTTCAGAAACAGCGGTGAATTATACAGTCATGTACACAGTCATGTACACATTTGGAAGTTTCCTAAACCCATTAGGGCCTGGTCCTCAGTCCCCAGTACGTCCTTGGGCCCCACGCTGACCCATCCAGGGACCCAAAGAAGGACCTGGGTTGCAGCTGAGAAAACCCAGCTTTAGCTCTACCTCTGGAACTGCAGGCAAATCCTTTCCACCCTCTGGCCCCAGTCTGGCCAGGGGAAGAGGGCTGGCCCCAAGTGCGTGATGTTAAGTGGGCCTGGACTTGCTCACACCTTCCGTCCATGAGGGACCCTGGGAAGCCTTTTTTTTTTCTTTTCTTTTTGAGACAGGGTCTCACTATGCAGCTCAGGCTGGCCTTGAACTCACTTTGTAGCCCAGGCTGGCCTTGAACTTGCAGCAATCCTCCTATGTGGTGAGGTTACAGGCATGTGCCACCATGGCTGGCTCAAGAAGCCTTGTTTATATGGACTCTTGGCATTTTTAGTGAGTTAGAATATCTGGCTGCACACACACCAGCATCATCTTTTATTTATTTTTTATTATTATTATTATTACTTGTACTGGGGACAGAACCTAGGGTCTTCATACTGTACAACCCTCACTTTTTTTTTTTTTTTTTTTTGGTCTTTTTGAGACAGGGTCTCGCTATGCAGTTCCGGCTGGCCTAGAGCTCACTTTGTAGCCCAGGCTGGTCTCGAACTTGCAAAGATCCTCCTGCCTCCGCCTCCCAAGTGCTGGGATAACAGGCATGTGCCACCACACTGGGCATCTTTATTGTTTTTTGAGACAGAGTCTCAGTAAGGTGCCCAAGCTGGGCTTTCAGTATAGATCTTCCTGCCTCAGCCTTCCAGAATGCTGGATTTATAGGTGTAGGGCACTGCGCCCAGCTCCCCAGCACCATCTGTCTCTACAGATGAAGAAACACAGGCCCTTGGTGCTGGGGGCTTGGCAAGGACTCTGGGAGGAAAGCCTAGGCCCCCTGACCCTGTCCTGAACTTTGCCCCCCACCCGCTAATTCGCGGCCCCTAGCCTCTCCTACAGTCTCTCTGCTACCCACCAGCTCTCCACCAACCAGGAATTTCTCTCAACCCCTTCTCGACCTTGTTTATGTGATTTTGTTCCCCGCTGGGTAGGGAGGACAGTCTAGGACTTGTCCTTAAAACTCCTTCCTGAGCCAGCTCCCTGGGGACGCTCACCCCCCAGAGGAGGAAGCGGGCTGCTTGAGAACGGGTTTTATTAGCCAACACGCGGGGCTCTCAACATCTGCAGCTGGGAAACCCGCCCACCCCTGCCTGTCTCTGGGCCGCAGTCTCTGGTTAGCTGGGAAAGGGCTGGGTTGGCTGGCTGCCTCTGGGATTGTATGCCTCGAGGCATACAAGCCTCAACAACCAGTAAGTATTTTGTTTTGTTCTGTTTTTGAGACAGTCTCCCTATGTAGTTCAGGGTGGGCTGGGCCTCTAAAATATGTCAATCCTCCTGCCTCAGCCTCCCCCGAGTGCTGGGATTACAGACTGGGTTCTCCAATGAGTGCTATTCTGAGACCCACTTTGTAAACAGCAATACGGATGTCCAGAGAGATTAAACTACTCCTCCAGTAGCACACAGCGAGTAAATACGGAAGTGCAATCTGAGATCTGGATGACAACACAATCAGCTTCCTCTCGGGGCTGGGGATTTAGCTCAGCGGCACAGCGCCTGCCTGGCAAGCGCAAGGTCGTGAGTTCGATTCCCGATACCGGAAAAAAAAACACCAAAAGAATTTAAAAAAAAAAAAATTAAAAACAATCGGGGCTGGGGATTTAGCTCAGCGGCAAAAGCGCCTGCCTGGCAAGCGCAAGGTCGTGAGTTCAGTTCCCGGTACCAGAGAAAAACCAAAAAAAAAAAAAAACAATCAACTTCCTCTAAGGGAGAGCTCTAACCTGCGGGGGGGGGAAGTGTATTTGGGGCTCATTATACCTTATTAGGACTAATCAAGTGCCTCCTTTGGGCGGGGATGCCAACTCAGTTCGTGACATCACGCAGGAGCGCGGTGACATCACGGTCGCAGGACTGGAACGACATCCACGCTCCCGCGGGCGGCCGTTTAACGGCACCGCCCCCGATGTCTTACTTCCGCTGTATATTTGCATATTCATCGAGCGGACGTCGGCGCGTCAGTCTCGACGCGGTGACATCAGTGAGCGCCTCTGCAGCTTACCCCGAGCGTGCGTACGCACGTACGCAAGCACGCACGGCCAGAACGGGCGGGGGAGGAGTGGGGAAGTTGGAGGAGCCCCGCCCAGTCAGCAAGGTTGCGCGTGCCCCGTGCGGCCGCCAAGATGGTGGTGGGCGCGTTCCCTATAGCGAAGCTGCTATACCTGGGCATCCGGCAGGTCAGCAAGCCGCTTGCCAACCGCATTAAGGAGGCTGCCCGCCGAAGCGAGTTCTTCAAGACCTATATTTGCCTTCCGCCGGCACAGCGTGAGTCTGACCCCACGTCCCTCCAACCTTTCCAATCTCCAGCCCCTCTCAGTTGGTTGCTCAGGGGATGGACATCTGTCCATGGCCAATCATAGCTCGAACCGGCAAAATCCTTTAGCCAATAGTGAGGGCCCCTGGAAGAGGGGCATACGGGTAACCCAATAATACGAATGGGCATAGGGTAAGGGGCGGGACAGGGTGTCACCGCGCGAGTTTGGAATACCAGCCAATAAAAGAAGAGAATTTGTGGAGACTGACGTCTAAGCAAACCAATAATCTGGGTAAAGAGCAATTTAGGCGGGGCTTTCCAGGAGTGAGGAAGAGCTAGGGGGCGGGACGGAAGAGTAACCGAACTGGGGTACTTTGCCAAGCTATCGTTGGCGATTTATCTCCCCAAATCCCACCCCCGTTCCTCAATTTCCCTGCTGCCTTGGGAAGTGGAGGGCGTTTGTATATCATCCGTTTGGAATGTCAGTGTGTGCCGGGCGTGGTGGCGCACGCCTGTAATCCCAGCCCTCGGGAGGCTGAGCCTGGGCTACAAAGTGAGCTCAAGGCCAGCCTGCACTGCATAGCGAGACCCTGTCTCAAAAAGACAAAAAGAAAAAAAAAAAAAAGAATGTCAGTGTGCCTTGGTTTGACTCAGGGCATTAGACCTAGATGGGGGTGAAGTGGGGATGGGTGAAGTCTGCGGTCTGAGAGCGTGGCTTGGGATCTGGCAAAAGGGGAGTGCAAATCCGAACGGCCATCAGTCAGACTGTGAGGTTTCCGCTGGGCTCTGGGCGATGCACTCCTGGCCCGGCAGCGTCAACCCGGAGCCGGTGGAAGCGCAAGTTCAGAGGACCTGCCGCCCCGGGCGCGGGGGCAGGAAGCTTCCTGGACGGGAGCTGCCCGAGCTGGAGCTGAAGTCCGCAGTAAATGCTCCAAGTATAAGCTATGTTAAAAAGATGATCCATGTGCTGTAGGCCTGTGGGGGCATAAACTTCCTATAACTCCGAGGGCGCCGCCATTCATCTACCCAGGACTTCATTGGGCTTGTATTTTATTTTATTTTACTTATTTACTTTTGGTCTTTTTGAGACAAGGTGTTGCTATGCAGTTCAGGCTGGCCTTGAACTCATTTTGTAGCCCAGGCTGGTCTCGAACTCACAACGATCCTCATGCCCAGCCTCTCAAGTGCTAGGATTACAGGCGTATGCCACCTTGCCCGGCTGGGCTTGTGTTTTAGGAGCACGTGTTTTGTGCCAGCCCTTGTGCTCGTGAGCAGCAGGGACCGAGCTAGTCCCAGGCTGTGCCCTCAAAGAGCTCGTAGTCCAGTGGGCACAGACCCATCCCCCAGAGTGACAGCCTACATGAGCTGAATTGGGATGGGGGAGTCCACTGGACACCTGACCTGGCATGCGGTACAGTACTGGCAAAGGAGACCGCTGCACGGGGACCCAAAGGGTGAGGAGAATCTCAGCAGACCACTCAGGGACAGGGACAGTGCTCAGGCAGAGGGCGGAGCGTGTGCAAAGGTCAGGTGCATAAAGGGAGAGACTCTTTTCTCCCTGTAAGCTTGACAGTTCTTGATCTTTTTGCTTGGTGCGGTCTCTGCCAGGCTGTAGATCTTCCAGTAGGGAAGTGTTGGGTTTCATGATAACCAAGGCACTTTCGTGTCAGCTGTGTCATTTACTTTCAGAACCAGTTTTTGTTTTTTTTTGAGACCGAGACTCATTATGTAGTCCAAACTGGCCCTGAATTCACCATGTGGCTCAGGCTGGCCTCGAATTTGCAGTGATCCTCAGGCCTCAGCCTCCTGAGTGCTGGGATTATGCCACCACACCTGGCTGTTCCATCTTTAGCGATAGAGACTTGAATCCCTCTGTTAAAATATTAACCAGAAAAAGAACCCATCCTTTTCCTCTTAGTAGTGAAGAGCTGTAGTTGTTTGTGGTGGGTGGAGCCAGCAGGATTGCCCTTCCGTGGTGTGTGATGAGGCAGCTGGGATGGGTCAAGTTGGAGGTGATACTAGATACTGGGGAGCACTACCGATTATATTTACTTCGTCGTTATGTCATTATTGTCTCCCACTGTTACTGTCCTTTGCTGCTGCCCCCAGCCAGTGCAGTCATGGGCTTGGAATGTCCAAGAGTACAGTAGCAGCTGTGCGTTCTCCCAGGTTGCCTCTCTCCTGACCCCAGCGGTACGCTCAGGAGCCCTGTAACTGAGATTCTTCCAGCTCAGCAGGGCAGGCCCGGTCTGTCTCCTCCAGGGACCACCGAGGTGAGCGGCTGCCTGAGCTCAGGGCAGGAAACGTACAAAGGACAAGTCCCTGATAATGCTCCTCGCTTGGGGAGCCAAAGACCTATTCATTTTTATGTTTTGCCATGCTGGGGGTGCAAGCCAGGGCCTCGTGCACACTAGGCAAGCATTCTGTCACTGAGCTACATCCCCAGCCTTGACAAAGACCTTTTAAACAAACAATTTGCCCTGGGCATGGAGGCGCACGTCTGTAATCCCAGCACTTGGGAGGCTGAGGCAGGAGGATCGCTACGAGTTCGAGGCCAGCCTGGACTACAAAGTGAGCTCAAGGCCAGCCTGAACTGCATAGCGAGACCCCATCTCAAAAAGACAGTAAATAAATAAATAAATAAATAAACAAACAAAGAATTCAAGGCAGAGAAAAAGGTAAAGTGGCTGGTGATGCCAGGCAGGTGGGGCTGTTCTTGCAGAGTACATTTCTGATGCTTCCAGGGAAGCGGTGGGGTGTTTCTGGGCAGTGGAGACCTGATTCATCTCCACTTGTTCCTCTGCAGTATAGTGGTCATTTTCTGATTTACCACATACTATAGGCAGAACAGCAGTCCCCCCCACATCGGTATTGTCAGCACTTTGTCACTGTAATGAGATCGCTGAGGCTGGATCAATTTATAAAGAGAAGCTTATTTAGCTCACAGTTCTGGATGATCGGAGGCAGCATTTGCCTTAGCTTGGTTCTGGTGATGGCCTCTTAACTGGCAGGTCCCAGGCATCTCACAGCAGGGCTGTCCGTGTCTGTGTCTGGTCTGTGTCCCTCTTTTTATAAGGCCACCAGGATTCAGTTATGAGGGCTCCACCCTGAAGACATTGTCTAGCTGGGCATGGTCGTGCACACCTGTAACCCTAGCACTCTGGGAGGCTGAAGCAGGAGAATCACAAGTTTGAGCCCAGCCTGGGCAATTTAGCGACTTAGTGAGACCCTGTCTCAAAATAAAAAATGAAGCCGGGTAGTGGTGCACGCCTGTCATCCCACCACAGGGAAGGCAGGAGGAAGGTTGGTAGTTTGAGCCCCTCCTGGGCTACATAGTGAGTTCAAGGACAGTCTAAACTACAGTAAGACTCTGTTTCAACAAACAAAAACAACACGAACAAGGGCTGGGAATATAGTGAAGTGAGAAGGCTCTGGGTTCACTCTCCAGTAACACGCACACGCACACGCACATTCTCTGTGGGGAGGCTCTGCCCGCCTCAACCTCCGGGTTTCACTAGAAACACTGCCCCGCGGGGCTCACAGCCTCCGCTCAGGTGGAAGGACAGAGTCCTCTGAGAATTTGTGGCACCCACTGTTCCTCGCATGGACTCAGAGCCTGAATTATACTCTGCACGGAGCAGGCTGAGAAAGAACCTGCCTCTGTTGTGTCCTGAGCACAAGCCTTGGCCATGCCTTCCGCCAGCCTGCGTGCCCTGAAGCGTGGCGCTGGGTCGGTGAGCCGGGCTCAGTGGAGCCCGAGGATGGCAGGTCACTGGTGGTCAGAACCACGTGGACCTAAATGTGCACCCAAGTTGACAGGTTAGGGGCTGGGGATTTAGCTCAGCGGCACAGCACCTGTCTGGCAAATGCAAGGTCGTGAGTTCGATTCCCAATACCAGAAAAAAACAAACAAAAAAAAAACAAAGAAGTTAACAGGTTAAAAGGGTGAGTAAAAGGCATCCTAAAGCACAAGGAAGATTTAAAAACTGCTAGGAAGTTTAAAAAGAACCAAAAATAACTTGTAGAAATGACAGAAGAGTTGGGTCCTGAGATGGATAGAAAGGCTAGCACTGGGCACAGCCCCCTGGTAGAGCGCATGCTTTGCACGCAAGGCCCAGGGTCCATCCCCAGCCCGGAAAGTAGAAAAGCCAAACTCCTGACGAAACACAGCTGCGAAGAGGATGGTGAGCCATGTGTGGTGCTCCCTGCGGTCTCTGAGTCCGGCCACTTGGGGAAGAGTTGGAGGTGTTGGTTTGTTTGGATTCTTTTGAGACGGGGTCTTGCTGTGTAATTCAGGCCGGCCTAGATCAGTCTCTGTGATCCTCCTGCCTCAGCCTCCTGAGTGCTGGGATTATTGCCGTGTACTACCACACCCAGTGAGGCATTTATTTTTAACAATCTTCAGAGTGGATTCTCACATGTGCCAGTGTTTGACATTTACTTCCCTGGAGTCTATTTATAATCTCCTGAGTGTCACATTGGTTCTGTTGGTTTGTTTGTTTGTTTTTCTTCCGGTACGAGGAATTGAACTCACGACTTTGTGCTTGCCAGGCAGGCGCTTTGCCACTGAGCTAAATCCCCAGCCCCTACATCAGTTCTGTTATGTCCCAGCCATGCTGCTTCTGGTGACCTCCAAACATTTTTAGCATGCTTTCCTACAAAGGGAGCATTTCGAGCATTCTCCCCTTTATAACGATGTACAGTTATATGTACATATGAAGTTTCTTTGTTTGTTTTGAGACAGGGTCTTACTGTGTAGTGCAGGCTGTCTTTGAGCTCACTTATGTAGCCCAGGTTGGCCTCAAAGTCATAGTGATTTTCCTGCCTCAGCCTCCTGAGTGTTGGGGTTACAAGCGTGCAGCACCACACCCGGCCATATGTAACTATTTACCGGTCATCTAAAGTGCTAACATATGGCTATTTTATGAACATTTAAAACATACACAAAGCCGGGCATGGTGGGACATGTCTGCAAAACCAGCATTCTGGGAGGCTTAGGTAGGAGAGTTGC